AACTGTGATCAGAAATGTGGCCAGACCTGCCATTCACAGTGTATTTCGCAGGGTAACACCGCTACGGGCTGTGCGTCGTCTTGTGGACAGCAATGTGCCTCGTCGTGCGCAGCCCGCCCTGCTCAGGTAGATCAACTTGCACCAGCACCAAACCCTTGTGTTCAGCGTTGTAACACTGACTGCCAGCGTGATTGTGGCATCAACCAACCGCTTTGCTCCACCACTTGTGATATCGCTTGTCGTCTGCGCTGTTTAGAGGACGTGTCTTCATCGAATGAACTCATTCAGAACTCGAACGTGATCTCAGAACCGCTTCAATGTATTCGGCCATGTATGCCAGCTTGTCTGCCCTCATGCACTAACTCAGTAACACCTGCACCTGTCGAACCAACGCTTTTGCCACCTGTCACATATCCACCACCTTTGGCTACCGCATCAACTCCAGCTCTCAGCGCCACCACAACTAGCACCGCTGCACCTGTACAGATCAACATTAACCTCGTTGTGTGTCCAGTGTCTTGCCAACCAGCCTGTGATACGGCTTGTATTCAGGCTCAACAGCAGCAGCAACAGCCACAACAAGCTGCACCAATCGTTCAGTGTATTCCTGTCTGTCAACCGCAATGTCTGGAGAGTTGTATTGCCGCCCAACGACCTACGATGGCACCTCAATGTATTCCTGCGTGCCAGCCACAATGCTTGGAGTCATGCATAAGGGCGCAAATAACGGTACCAAAGACTGTATTGCTGCTTGTCAACCGGCTTGTGAACCCAGCTGTATAAATTCCGCTAATGCACAGCCTGCATATCTTTCTTCCTCCTCTGCTCAGCCTTCTCCTAGCAGCACACTATCGCTTCAAATCGCTTTTCAACCAGAACCAGCTTCAGCTTCAGTTCAATGTATTCCAGCTTGTATGCCGACTTGTGAGCCATCATGCACTGCCCAATCATCGCTTCCAGCTGCACCGCAATGCATCGCGGCCTGCCAACCAGCATGTGAGCCACAATGCATCAAGCTTCAGACGCTTGTGCAAAGCACTCCTGCTACCAGCCCTCCATCGGCCACTTGTATGCCAGCTTGTCAACCAGCCTGTGAACCGTCCTGCATTCTTACCGCCTTCATGACTATGGAATCGGCGATCTCACAACCGCTTCAATGTGTACAAGTTTGTATGCCATTATGCACTCCCCAATGTATTCAGAATAACGCTCAACCAGGACTTGCGCCATCGGCTCCGCCTTCGACTCAACCGCCGTTGGTAGCACCCTCCCAGCCTGCACAGTGTATTGCTGCTTGCCAGCCCGCTTGCGAGCCTTCCTGCGTTCAGCAGTCACAGCAGCCAACTGTTATAATCACTGTATCCGAAAATCAAGTTCAGTGTGTGGAAGCTTGTCGTCCGGCATGTGAACCGTCATGCATCATGCGTCAAAGTACTGTGCAGGTATTGATTTTTTTGATTTTGAAAGAAAAAAAAACCACAGAATGTATAAATAAGGCGCCATTATTCTGACACTTTCTCTTGTTCATGCAAAGAAAGTCCACTGTAGGTCGCGATGGGAGTGGAGTGCGTAGTTGTGGAAAAGCAAATCTCTGGGGGAGTTTGGCGACGGGGTGGGGGAGGGAGCATTTTGCACTCTTGGTGCTTCTCATCGGAGAGCTATTTGCTTCACATCCGAAGAGCTATTTCATGAGATTGCAAGAGTAGATAGGTTTTCCGTAGAGTGGAGCTTGCTCCAGCTCTACTAGGGTTCACAGGTTTCACCAAAGTGAGGCTTGATAATCGGTACTAGTGAAGAGCGAAAGTGCGAAATGCCCGCCCCCCTTCCCCTCGTCGCCAAACTGCGCCCAGAACTCTTGCTACTGTTTCCCTCTATGAGCTGATCGAAACTGTTTGGAACAAAACAATGGGACCGCTCATAATAGGTAGAAGGCGGCTACTCCAGTTGGCACTTTTTACCCTTTGTTGGCCCACTCTTCTAACTAGGGAAGGTCGTTAGGTCGAAGTGGCCGCATTTGTACAGGAGACTGTAGCTCACTACACTGTGGCGTTTTGGACGCTTGAATCCGAATCTGGCCTTCGAATTTTGCATGAATCGATTTCTCCTGAATCGGACTATTATGAAGGTTTGTTTAGAATAATAAATGAAGGAAACCGAGTCGAGCGGCGTTGCCGGCAGTTCCAATTGATATAAAGCTCGGGAAGCACTGTTTCCCGTTTCAAGAGGTTGGTCGATGGTGTATTGTGGGAATGGTCTTGCTTCGTGGGCATGTCATGAAGGGTTCGAATTTCTGGAAGGGGGTTTGTTTTGCGGAATGTCTCTTTTAAGTCTAGAAAACACTCAAAATTGCCAAATTGGTGCCATTAAGTTCGTGTCAGGGAGGCAAAAACTATCCCTGTGGGGACTAGGTTTCTAAGCCAGATGTGAGGTTGTCCGACCTTATACTTTGTAGATAGTGTCGGTAGTCAGTTGACGGGATCCTGATGGTGTCACAATAGTTCGCAGGGCCAGTCTCCTTTGTCGATTGCTTGTTTTGACAGAATTTGCTTTTTAGTATACTAGAAAACTTGTCCGCTAGTACAGGCAATAAGAATTGCCGTAGAAGGTTGTAAGAAGAGGCTTTTCGTGGAGGAGAAGTGTATTCCGCATGCTGAATAGGTGTGACATCAGAATGGAACTAAACTCCATTGGATTGCTCACGTTTTCGAAGTTCAGTTGTCTTAAGAATGGCATGAATTTGGCTAGAAAACTGCTCCTATCTAGGCGTCGTTGGACCCATAAATACGATATGGCAGCTCGCTCAGGCGGCAAAAGAACGCCTGCACTGCGCGCCAAGGGCACCTGTACATCTCCTAGATCATAAGGCACTAAGCGCGCCAGTAAGCGAACACAAACTGTTTTTCAGGCAAGTCAAGGAGAGCGCTAATGTAGTAGTGACGCTACATACGCTACTTTTGCTCTACTTTGCACAAGAAAGCGCAATAAAAGTTAAGCTCAGCTAAGGATTCCGATCCCTAGCGACCCTGTTGCGTGTAAATGCTCGTAAGAAAAAAAGCTCCATACACACTCTTTTCAAAATTGTTCTGCAAATTTTGAAAGCAGATTCGAGATCAGCGTCCAAAAGCACGTCTAGTGAGCTACATCTCATTACAAATGGCCACTTCGACCTGACGACCTTCCCTAGTAAGTTGAGAAGTATAGTCAATCTAAAATTTCTTCTGGTATTTTTTGTCAACTGTGTCGCTAATAATGAGAAATATATTGACAGAACCATACAGTAATGCTGCCGTTAACCCGTGCCCCTTAAACAAGTTCCTTCGCTGCCACTCCGGCTACCCTTGCTGAAAGATGTGTATTATTCGTGATTTATAGGGGGCCGAAATACTGTGGTTCTCCCTGCGAATTTCGTTTCCTGAGTAGTTTTGGCTCCCCGGCTGAGCAAGGCGCTTCGAAGCGGCAAGTAAATGGTTAATTTATGACTCATTTCACCCAACGGCTAATCTCCTCTTCAAAAACGATAGTTAAGGGGTCGTTAGATTGAGGCAGGCCTGAAAGGCCACCTTAACTGCTATCGGGGCTCTAACCTCTAGACCGTGGCGAGATTTCTACCAAAATTATACATGAGTTTCGAAGATGTGCAGTACAGGGTAAAGTCCCCTGCCCCCATTAGTCAACGTTGTAGTTGACAGTGGTAATGTAGATATATATGTCCGGTAGTAGTTCGCTCTGGATGAAGGGGCGTGTCCGGTAGTATGAGTGTGCTGTCATACCCATTCTCCGTCGGTTGTTGAAGCGGGTACGACAACAAGTGGTAGGAAACGACTGATACGAAGAATATGATACAGTCTTTTCACTTGCTCGCTTCAATAACTAGTGGAGAGCGCTTTCGACCGCGCCAAACTCATGCCGCCTGGCACGCCCCTTCGTCCGCAACGAACTAGACTATTCCTGGTCAAAGTAAAAGGCACATAATGGAGTAAATGACTCAGAAGAGAAACCACCATGGTTTATTTTGATAAAGTATTTTATCCGCAATTTCATAATGCTTGTATTCTCCAGCCAGCTCAGCAAGTACCAGCTCAGTGTGCTCCTCAGTGTCAACCACTCTGTGCAGAGCAATGCGTCAAGGTAGATTCATGGGTAACACAGTGTATTGCCTAGTGTTCGGTCTAGGACAGGGGCAAATTCGATTTAGTCTTTCACTTCTGTACGAATTATCATCTCCTTCCAGGATGCTGCACAACAGGTGATAAAAATAGAGGCCACTATCTGCCCATGTGTTCAGCAATGCCAGGCTGGATGTCAGCGACATAATAAGAATCAGTCGCTATGCGTTGGAGTATGCAATGAGGTATCCAGCTAGCTTTCACCTGTTTTTAGAAATCGGTTGTTTTCTGCATGAATAACCACCTCTCAAAGGTCTGCGAAAAAGAATGCCCACCACTGCAACAATCTCCTGCACAGCAACAACAACAAATTGTAATCAACTTTGCTGCTCCAGAATGTCTACCGATATGCGAGCAGGTAAAGGCTATACCGTGCTATAAACCTGGAAATCTCTCAGAATCTGTCTCTGCAAGTCTTTTACTGGTTGAACCTCGGTTATTGTATCCTCAAATTGAGGTAAACATACTCTTAAAAGCAGTTAGGACGTCCTTTAAGTCGAACCGCCACAGTCGCGCGCTTAAAGACAGCCCCGCGCTCGAGTAGTACATGGTCGTCCTTCCTTGTGCAAGTAGTACAGCCCCCAAGCTAGAGACTGTCCCACTCTATTCGTCTGCACAGCGAGCGAGAAGCGAGCTACAGCCGCTGTAAGTTCTAGTTCTAACGCCTGCTCAGTTGGACCGCCTTACTTGCTAGATGTCCTCCGACGGAGGCCACTCAGTTGTTCTTAGTCGGGGCGGCGGGCATTGCTAATGCCCATGGATAATTCTGCTCCCCTTTATTACAGTTTACTCATTGGAGGTATATACATTCAATTCAACTCATTTCGCGAGGTGAAACGCGTAAAAAGCACGAGTGACGCAATTTTCGTGATGCAAAACCTCGACGCACAAAACGTGCGCTACCGTAATCCCAAATTCAGACACCGCGTTGATAAAATTCCTTTTTCCTTCCAAGAGTTTTCCTCTGCGTTTTTGTTTTCTTTTTGTATTCTTTTTTTTGCACTGGATGATATCAACTACTGCGAGATGTGATAGAGAGATTTGTGAGCTAGGGGTTGCACAGAGACCGCAGGGAGGTGTGACTGTGAGGGAGCGATTTTGTTTATGTTGTTCTGGAGAACGCTTCTTGCCTGTTTTCTTCTTTGGGAGATTACTTATCAGCTACTGTTTCATAATTGGAAAGCAGCTATCCATGAGACTTTTATCGCGGGAGCTGTCTTTAACATGTGCATTATGCCGAGTCCAAATGATCATCCACGGCACATCGTTGTTGGAGATTCCCCAACAAAGGGGAGGGGGAAGGGTCGTTGTTGTTGGTCGGTAGAGGGGGGGGGGTCATATTCAGGCTATGAAAATTTTTTTGATAGTTGATTTTATTTTACTTGTCTGAGAGACGTTGTCAAGGAGGGCTGTGTACTTGCTCGTTGTTAGGAGGGGGGGAGGGTGGTATATCCTCCTGATCTTTTGTGGAAGGTTGCTGACTTTTCGTTTTTTGTCCCGTTTCACATGTGCTATTTATACCACCCCTTCCCCCACTCTCCTACCACTCCGCCGAGGGGAGCCGTACTTGCTGCGTTGTAGAGGAGGGGGGGTGGTCATATCCTCTCTGATCTTTTGGGGAAGATTGCATAACTTTTCGCCGGTTGCCCCGTTTCACTCATGTGCTATCATACCCCCCCCCCCTCCCCCCATCCCCTCCACTCCGCCTCAACACTCGGTGAGGAGGGGAACCGGGGGGGGGGGACGGAGGGTCGCACGGACTCGACCAAAATACCCAACCAATGATGTGTCCCTGATCGTCTCCCCGATCATTGGAGTTGTTCATGCCAGAGTTATTCTCAGTTTATTTCATTTCGGCTAGCACTCTTTTCTGGGTACAAGAAAATGTCTCAAATATTTTATCAACACTGGTCATGTAAGCGAAGAAATATAAAAAAAGTAACACATTAGATGATTGTAAAGTCCTGCAACACTAACATCGGGGTTTCAGTCGAGTTTTCACGTTTTGAGTAAAGTTCCATCAGCAATGTGATTGCCATTAATAACTAAAACACGCCTTCAACCTTCAGTTAGCTCCTCAAATCTGTGAAAGGCACGAGCAATAGGCTTCCAAGCTTCAGGAGCCATTATGCACTACCAAGTCCTCGTATGCTGAAATCATCGGGAACATTCCACAGTAATCAATGGCGAAGATGTTTAGAAGCTAGCCAATTTTTTTTCTTTTTTTTGCGACCGCTCTTCAGGACTGCCGTAGGACCGGAAGACCGACCAAATGGAACGGCCTGCGCTGCACTATCACTCTGGTAGCTATGTTGAACTTCAAACGTGCTGATAAGCACCGAATTCCTCCAAAACTCTTTCCTGCTCGTCACTTATCTTTTGCTTTCTAGTTCCATTTTCATGTGAGGGTACTTCTGAGAAAGCATATGCAATTTCCTCGAGGCTCAACTCTATGTTGAAACCAGGGCAATCACTGCCAAAGAGTGCTCGACGACTCATTTTTATAGCTGATTCGTTTTGTTTTAGTAACTCTTTTGATTTTAATTTCGGCATTCTTCAGGGTTTAAAGAGCTCTGATTTTTCTAGTGTTTTCTGAAAAATATTTTTTAGTCCTGCAATTCCCAATGTGTTGAACGCCTTCCGCAAGAACACTGTGGCAATCTTTGTCATAGTCAGTGCACCGCAGCTTGTACTCAGGTATGTCGTAGTTTCAAATAATTCGGTCCTAATTCCTAAGCATATCCATGTCAGATAATGTAATGATTTATAGAGTGTCCCGGCAGTCACCCAACAAGCACCGCAATGCGTTGCAGCTTGTCAGCCAGCTTGCGAACCATCCTGTGTTCAGACTGCTACTACACCCATTAAAGTAGAGGTAAGGAACATTTAACCCTTCACGGGTAACTCGCTCACGAGGTGAGAAGCGTAAAATGACATGCTGAAAGGCTGTGCTGTTATAAAATCGCGCTCACCCATCGTTTCAAGGGGTTTGGTTGCGTCCTGCCCCACAGGGTGATAGTCACTTACTGGTCCGCATCGTTCTTACTCGCTCTCTAAGTTACTGTCGTTCTCACCGCTGCACGCTTTTTCCCCCAGCTTCGTTTGTTTCAAAGCCCACTAGAACACTGTCCCATCTTTGACAGTAAGCACGTCTGATCTGCATAGTTATAGTTGGGAATTCAAATGCCAGAAGTTGAACAGCAAAAGCTAACTCGACACATTTAACGTCACCGACGATAGCGCACAGAATTTGCTGTTCTACGTTGCACTAGTTTTTCCTGTATTTGTTGTTCTGTTTGCCGGTACTGTTGTTTCTACGTCTATTATCACAACAATCGCGCATGGTGAGTTAGTAGCGTTCAGGCTTCGCCAAAGCGCGTTCGACGCGCTTGTAATGCGTGGTCAAAGCGCGTGGCGTCGCGCTACAGTTACACGCACGAGCATCATGGTATACACGTGTACGCAGCCGCACGACGGTCAGGTGCTGAGAGATTCTATACTGGCTGAACGCTCGACCAATCGACGCTGGCCGCATGTGATCGAGTGGAGCAGCAGGAAAATAGCGATGACAGGTTATTTCCCGGCAAAGGCAGCCTGGTATTGATGATCAGTGCCATCTGCGGCAGCGTTCGCATCTAGTAGCTTTTGGAGCGCCTCTTGTAATTTGAGAGGCGCGATTCGACCTGCGTCATCGCGAAGTGTGGAACACTCCGCCTTGAATGGCACTGATGGTGGCACTTTGATGCAAAGTTCATTACTTTACAACGGGCGATCGAACCTGTTACCTCCGTCTCGCCTCTAAGTCATGACTTATCACTGTGCATGAAGTGCCGCCTATCCTTTGGACCACGACAGTGTGAGGTGCGAGTTCGAGTGCCGCCACGCACGTCAAAACGTTGGACTGTAGCTCAACATTCTTGCGATAACTGCGCAATGCGCCAACACTAATACGGAACTAGCGTTACTGAAAACTAGTTAGCCATTCACTTGTATATGTCGTGTTGGCCCACTGCGTCTTGAATTTATCATCATACGCATGACATGGTTAATTAAATATAAACAAGTACAATACGATGAACCAAAAAAAAACATTTCAACAGGAGGAATTTCAGATCCGATTTGAACAATGTCAGCCAGCATGCGAGACCAGCTGCATGCGTGAGTGTCAGGCAACTTCGACGTCGATCGGATCGGGTTGTGGAGCAGCTTGTACGAATATCTGCACGCATTCGTGTGCAGCTCAACCGGCTACTCAACCGACTGTAGTGCAAGCAGCCCTACAAAGAGAAGACAGTTGCGCTCCACGATGTATGGCAGATTGCCAAAACCTTTGCCCAAGTAAGACGGATTCCAGTGCTTCAAGAGTGGGTGCGATCCATTGCAATATAAAATCAGCTCTCAGCTCCTCATGATGAAAACCTGTACTTGCAGGATGTGAAGCCAGCTGCCAACAGCTGTGCGGATCGGCGCCGACTCCCGTCAGCCGAACTACTTGCTATAAGTTATGACTGTAAATCTACCGGTGAGATATGCTGCAATGTACCAAGGAATGTCTTCATAAAGGTACGGTCAATTTAGCTCTTGTTCTGGTATCAAGCAACAACTAGTACAACCTCTACCGAATGTTGCAAGTTTGAGACAACTGGAACAAAGAGACAATTCAATATTAGTCAAGTGCGAATGACCCTTTCCTTTTTCACTGTTGATAATGATGTCAGAAATTGTACGAGGATAGTGCCATAAACATCCCGCCAATGAGTTTTTCGTTTGCGAGAGCGATTGTTTTAAGGAATGAAAGTGGGACAGTTCCTCTGACAAAGAAAAGAATTCGATTTGTTTAGATTCTGGATGTGGAATGTCTTGTGTACAGAGATGTGAGACAGCTTGTCCAGTGGTGAGCTGCGAGAACGCTTGTGAAACAGTCTGCAAGGTAGGCATCACACTGCATATGTTTTTAACAAAGGCTATTCAAAGGTTTAACTTGGGAATAGTTAGCAGGAAGCCTGCATTCATACATGATTGTCACTCCGGCAGTTTACTAGTAAGGTTTCGCCAAAATCATATCTACAAAACTCTGATCCAGGCCTGACTTTTCCGTCATGTACACAGACTCCGTACGGAATCACGGAGAATGCTACACCACGTAGGATGCACCAGTCAAATCCGAGACGGGACTTCCGAACCGGCATCTCCGCTTCCGGCATACACACCGACGCGACCGTTGCGTTATCATCACGGATAAGGCGCGCCCACTTCTGGCCCTCTCAGCCCAATGGCCCATTTTGTGCCATTAGGCCTTACAGCACTCACACTTCAACGTGTATGAACTTTTCCAAGCCCATAAACCTCATATACCGCCTGACAAAATATTGTTTGCGGATGATGCTATGCGCTTTTCGAAGACCTGAAGTTTAGTGGACGAACAGCTCTCCGTTGGTCACAATGCGCGACACCGACTCAGAGACTGCTTTAGATACAATTAGGTTTTTTCAGCGAATCGTGCTTGCTTTGATCCTAGACGCTGCCTCTCCGCATAATACGGTCTGGAGTTCCTATCTTGCCAGAGAAACCGAGATGTAAAGAATAGAGTAATTTGCCGGTCACTTAAATATTTAATATGGCATCCGAGAAACCAAACAGCAACACCTTTACATATTACTTGAGGCAGTAATAGACAGTGGGAGACAACAATATTTACGAAATAAAAATATGTTACAGGGTCAATGGCACGTTCGTTCGGCCAGCAATCCGCCAGTGTGACACTGCCTGGCTGAATTCGTTGGCGCCTCAGCTGTGCTGCCGCAAAAAACGAGTGAAACGAGCTTGAACCTCTCCTGAGCCATGAGAATTTCATTGTTCCACTCACTCACCTCACCAATTTTTACCATTGTTCCAATTTTTCCTGGAATAGTAGGGTTTTTTGTCGTGTCAGTCTTCAAGAACGACGGCTGTAGAGAAGTCTTAAGCCATAGAAGACCTTGTATAGCGTTGATTTCCAGAGGAAATCTATTTCATTTATAGCTGATCAATCGATCACAACCTACCAACGAGTAGCCTTCTTTCGTATATATATTTGGGTTGATTCTTCTTCGCAACGCCAGTTTTTGATTTCATTTGTTATTTGCATAGAATCAGTTGTACGTGGGATGTAATATTTTATCATCGATTATTAGTATTTATTGATACCACAGATGTGCTCAAACCACATAATTCGGATTCCAGCTCTTTCAACTAAAACTGTTTGTTCGCGAGATTTCTTTCGTGGACTGTTATCAACTTATTATATATTTTGCACCATGTAGTCATACAATGCCGAAAACATTTTGTACGAATAAAAATTTCATTTTTGCTTTTCTATATACGCGCCATGAATTGATGCTGAGCTCATGCAGTGTCTCCTTTAATGTTCGTGTACAAGTTTTATCCTTCAGCAGTCACCTGCACACAAGGAGGTGTGGACTGGAGCGCCCTAGGGCTGCTTTTTCGCAATGATGTCACCTTGCCCGCAACCAATTGGTGGGAAAGGCTATCCTGACTGCCCGCTTCACGCCGCCTCACATGTCGTTCCGTTTGCAGCCATAGCGGTTGTACATAAAGCTCGTAGCAGTCATAGGCATGTTGCTAATTGTCTGATATTTTGAGAATAGAATAGAATAGAAGAGGAGAGAAGAGAGAGACGAGAGATAAAAGAGAAGGTGAGGGAAGGGATAGGGTAGGGCAGCGCAGGCAGGACAGGAGAGGCAAGGGCAGGGCAGTGCAGAGAAGGAAGAAGAAGAAAAAGAAGAAAAAACTTCGCGTGAGGGAAGTGAGCCACGTCAATATTAGTCATCGTATTCAAAGTGCCTCGGGTTTTTCTCGAATAAAACAAGAGGCAGAATAGATGAAAGAGTAATAAGGGTTTGGCTCCAAGTTAAGTAAATCTCTGACTTTTTGTTCACACGACCCGCTACCAATGCCCCGAAAGCTCTTGGACACTGGTACCTTCCATTTTTCAACAAGTGCGAGTAAATTGATGTTGATATCAATTTCGGCGAATGACAAAACATTGTAGCGTTTGCCGTCGGAGAGTACTCTCGACTGACGAGAACAATTGGAATCGCTCGCTTCAGTGTTCTGGCGCGAATGGCGGCGAATTGAAACCCAGTCTTAGTTTCTTTGTGTTCCAGCACTGCTATAATTTACGTCTTCGGGGATTTGCGTGTAACAGATGTCTTTCTCATTATTACCTTAGGGTTGTTTGCCCCTCTACAACAATCATTTTCTTCCTCTTTTTCACCAATTGTTCAACCGGTTTATATCCTTCTTTATTTACCTTGCACAGTTCCTTCTCATCTTTATTGCATGGATTTTGCATGTCAACTCTTTTGCATTTTTTCTCGCTTTATCCTTTTTCTTAACTCCTTCCCTCCTAATGTTAGTCACATGTCCAATGTCTCAACCTCTATTCGTACTGCAAGAGCCGGCGGCGTGGTAAGACATCGATGATTCGTCTACGATAACGGGCGAAACGGATCATCTGTGACGTTGAGTGTATTCCTTTCCCCAATATTTGTTTTTCTTTGTTTCTAACTTGGCACTATAAACGAGAACGGTGGCTTTCTTTGTATTTGTTGGTATTCATCCATTTTCCGATCTAATTTGCGAGTGATCAGGCAAATAGTCACGACAGACGCCGATTTGTTTCTTTGTAGTAGAGCTCCATGAAAGTTCATAAGTGTGGGAATCCTTCGCCATGATGATCATCCACTTGCGCACACGTCACCCCTCATAGTAGAACTCTTCTCATCTGCATTCATACAAAATTGACGATTGTGAGTTTCGACTCGGAGTCCAAGAACCAGCCATATTTTATCTGCGGACGGAGGGCGTTTACACAGTCAGTGATGACATACTCATGCTCAGAACAGTACTGCTAGAGCACGGTACTGCGTTCGTGCTTCTACAAGAAAATTAGGTACCCATGCGCACACCCCCTTGACCATCCTCAGTTTATCGGACATAACTCGGGCAGCAGTTGCAGCTGGGATGTCAGACTCGCGGGGAAGCTCGACAAGGGTCCAGGCTCTGTGATCAGATGTACGCTGGCTTCATCCATCCACCCTTTTTTCTTGTGCAGGATAAACATTATGGGACCATCCACAACACAATTTTTCTTTCTTTCTTCTTCGGGCTCCTGAACCAAACCTTTCACCTTGTATTGCGAAAACCTTACACTACTGATCCGGTGCGGCGAATTTGAGCTAGCGACCCACTTCCTCTTATGATGTTGCTAATTGAAAATCGGGCGCTGTTTTTTCAACTCGGCTTCTTTTCAATTCTCGAGAGCTTCCTTGCGGGTAGGGTTCGCACAATTTCAGCAGATTTCACACAGCTGAGGGTCTAGCTCCAAATGAGCGAACCAGACCAACAACAGCTAACTAGCCCGCTCTTCCCTACTCCCACTTTGCTTTTCTCATTCTCTATATGTCACGGCACTTTTGAATGGGATGACCTAATAAGAGCGGGAGACAATGGGCGACGAGGTGTTCCTGCTGAGAATGTCGTAAATATCCCAGCTACAGCTGTATAAGTCGACTGCTACATTAAACAGTTAAGACGAAGTTTCAGGCGCATAGGGCTCATAGACTGCGAAAGTACACGGGAAGCAAGTAGGAACGTTACTCCTTTACATGCAAAGGTTCCCTGACTCCTTCCTATTCAAAAATTTATTAAATGCGTCAATTAAGTTTGACTAATAGAGACGTTTGTTTGCTAATCATTTGTTACGTCAACGTTAATTCAGTGTAAACATCTATACAAGAATAAGCTTCCTATTAAATTCGAGGACCAATTGTGACATCACATATCTCGAGGCAAACACAGTAAGCAGTCCGAGAGAATGGAAATCGGAGAGGCTGGCAGCGCATTGTTGAACTCGTGCATTTTGACCAGTACGTTTCCGAGAGCTAAGTAGGAAAGGACTCACATCACCAAGATGAACATTGTGAGGGCAAGCCCCGTGATAATTGCCACATAACATGCAACGGTTGTAGTCCAATCATCGTTAACCGCAGTTAGTCCCACCAGCAGTGAATAGAAAATGAAGTCGCCCAAGCCGAGTCGAATACTTCCTTCAATTGGATCCTATAGGACCTCTGATGTGCAAGCGCTCACCTCCCAGACCTCTCTATTCTGCTAAACTTTTCATATCGTTGATAGTGTTATTTGTAAATGGCACCATGGCACTTGATCGAGCTCACCCCCTGGTAAGTTAGTTGTTCAAAGTAGTCGAGTTTGTTCAAGTTGCCAGAGGCATGCTACACTACTGCCCCTATATCGTAGAGTATTCGATGAGAGACATTGGAGCAGACTGCGTTTAAAAGCGAAGCTCTAGTGGATATGCACCTCGCCTGGAGAAAGTAAAGAAAGAAGGGATCAGGAGGAGGTGCGCGGCGGATCGCCATGCAGTACCATGTCTGATTTCCAGCGCCGTCGACCCAGGAAAGTAGCTTTTTTCGAGTCTTTGAAGAAAAAAGACAGATCGGTATGTGACGGCAGGACCACGCGGTGTCGCGCGCGGCAATTGAAAATACCGTATAGGTTACGATCGGCGCGCATCGCGATGGTTTAGTTATCGCGACAGTGACATTGCAAGCAGGATTTGTGCAGGTCTCTCTCTGCCATAGTTGCTATGTAATCGCTTTAATCATGCAAATAAAAAGAACCTAAATGAATACAGTCTCGATAGCGTACTCGCCCGGGAAGCGTGAGGTGCGCGTTCAATTCTCGGCCGAAGGTTCGACTTTTGAAATCTAACGTTCATGACTATCCAGGTCCTACCAGGGTGAAGAGTATAGCTGAAGATTGAAGCGAGCACAACCTAATTTAATAATGAGTTCATCGCGAGCGTGCGCTCCCTGGAAACCGCGCGGTGTTTGCAGATTGCCGCGCACGCGACGTCGCGTGGCCTCAAAGACCGTCTCCCAAGACAGGCAGGACAGTACGTAGAATAGCGGGTGCTGCATGGCACCCACCAACTAGAGAAAAACTCGAAGATTGTAAACGAAAAATAAACTGAGGTAGACTACCGAAAAGTAGACATGTACAACTGCTTCTCGGGCTTACTCATCTTCCATCATGGAAAGGGTTTCATGGAGGAGTAGGGGTGGGGGGGGGGCAAGTCAAGTACGAGACACGGTACGCTTGTGTAGACTGGAAGAAAGCAGGAAACCTTTGTGAAGTCTTCCATGCTTTCCCACTTAAACGGTGAAATAATCCCGAGAAGAAGGGGCGCTTATGAGGAAGGTACGATAACTGTCCCTACCCGCGCATACGAACAGAGCGGATCGTGCCTCTGAATTAACGATTAACGATCTTGGTGCACACAGCAACTTCTTGCAGTTAATCCTATGGATTGTAGTTCGTTTAGGAAAGTGATCGGCAATCAAAAAAGGAGTTCGACGCTGGAAAACCCTTGAAAGTAAACGTCAGATGCCGGAAGAAACAAATTCCAATTTCTTAGACGAGTAAGAGAACCATGACATTTTAACGGAAGTTGTATTGTCCCGTTTCCCGAATTTCCCTACTTGAAAAGTATGCGATGATACACAAACCGTCCTCCTCATCCGAAACGCTGAGATTGGGCATGCGCAACGATTCGGCCGTCCTGTTCACATTCTTCTTCAATGCTTCCCCCGGTGGGCTAAAAAATGAGGTATGATAGGCTAGGCGTTGCCACTGTAAAAATGGTGGGCTCTCTTTTGATCTTTTCGGACATCCTGCAAGTTCAAATTTAATACGGAACTATCTCAAAAATTCGCTTTGGACGGCAAATTACGAGCGCCAGATCACGTTAAAAGGGTGGTCCACTGAAGACGTGCAGGATTAATGCGCCTAGCAGGACATACAGTAGCGCTCAGAAGTATTCGGGCAAATGCTTTTTCTCCCGTAACTCTTTTCTCATCTAACCGATTCATTTCAAATTCTAGTATGTTAAACATACCATTGTTACAATGAGAAACAGCAGCTGCTTTTGAACATTGCGCACGGGCTACAATTTTTTTGCGTAACGACTAACTTCAGTGTCTACAATACTACCACTGTTACTACTACCTACTGTTACCTACTGTTACATTTTCCGGGTTTTGTGGAGCTACACGACATTATTTTTAGGTGCCAGGACTGCCTTTTGGCTCCTTGCAGTGACTTGGAAGAAGACTGGAACCTCGGACTCTAAAAAAGTTGCTATGAAGATGTGCCTTTTACAAGTATTTTGAAAGTTTCTATATCCACATTGCCCATCGTGGTCTCAACTTAAGACTGTAATGAACGTTCAGAAGACCGCTGGAGCGCATTCGACATATATTCGCCAGGATAAAAGCATCCACTACAGCTTGCAGATTTCAAGTCCACTTGCATCTACTTTGCAGCCAATTTCAATAGCATTAATGAGACAAATATTAGCAAATGGATTGTCGGAAGAACACTGAGAGTGTTAGGGGTAAATGGTAGGTGTGCGACCGAGAACCCGCTGTTCAGCTCAGAAAATCAAAGGGTCAAAGTAGAGGTCGCATTCCGCCATCTTTAATCAACATGGAACTATCGGAGCAACGTCCTCCTCATCGAGGCAGGAGTGTTCACATCGCCGGAAAAACGGCTAACATACTCGACAAAATTTGATTTGAGAACCACGCCCACTCCCTCAGTTCCCCACGGCTCGTTTTCAGTGAGGGTGGCGGAAGCAATCTTTGCTTTGACCCTTTGATTTTCTGAGCTAACACTCTTCAGTGTTCTTCCGACAATCTATTTACTAATGTTTTTCTCATTAGTGCTGTTGAAGCCTGCAAGCTGTAGTGGATGCTTTTATCCTGGCGAATATATGTCGAATACGCTCCAACGGTCTTCTAAACGTTCACTACAGTCTTAACGTTGTGATCACTATGGCACTGTGCGTCTAGAAACTTTCAGAATAGTGGGGTAAGGCACATTCTGCATGACAAAATTTTTGATCTTCATGACAACTTTTTTTCGGTATCCGAGGTTCCAGTTTTTTCCAACTTACTGAGAGGACACAAGGCAGTTCTGGCACCTGAAAATGTGTCTTGGAACTCCACAAAACGCGAAAATTGTGAGCAGTATGGTGGCCTTGTGGACTTAAGGTAGTCGTTAGCAAAAAGTTGCAGCCCGTGCACAATGTTCAAAAGCAACTACTGTTACTCATTATTAACAATAATATGTATAACACACTAAAATTCGAAATGAATTAGTTGGGTGAGGAAAAAATATGGGTGAAAAAGCGTTTGGCCAAATACTACGCTACTGTATTTTGACGCCCCCAGTAAGCTCTCCTTGGCACCCTTCCCATGGGGGGAGGGTACCTTTATTGTACCCTATCGAGTATTTAGCGCTCCGAGCAGGCTCTCCGTGAGCCTTTTCCATGGGGGGTACCTTTATAGCGCCCTATCGAGCCTGAACATATATATGTACCGACCCAGACCTCTACCGCGCCCGCCCACCCACAAATGTCCGACCGATGCTGGTGTTCGTATCGCTTCATTTGGGAAGTACAATATACAGGGAATGTAGTGGTACGAAGCTGTAGTGCCGCATGGATATATGAGTAGATAAATGCAGTCGTATCTACCGTAGCGGTTATTGGCACGATTCCTACGGAAAACTCGTCCAAAACTGCTTCTTGAGTCGCGTGGAGTATTTTTTTGCAGGTTTTTGAGCGTTTCAGTTCGCTTTTTCGCCATTTTTCCACTATATAGCACCACAGCTACCATTATGGACCGATTATTGAGCTATCGCGCCTTATCTCTTAGACGCCACGAACTTGCCTTCAAAATATTGAAGGTCCTTTTAGTTACAAAGGCGCTATTATGGGTTGTGTAATACAATGAGCCTTCGCTCAGCCGCTGCGCATAGCCTTGATTTGCTGAAATCCACCTAGGCTAAGGCAATGGTTCTTTTAAGGCATGGTTCCTCCAGTTCGATTCAGCAGTTGGGGTTCCACAGTAGATCTCGCATAATTGTAGAACACTTTTACAATTTGGCAATCAAATATATGACCATGCACATAGCTAATTCGGAAATTATGTGATAGGAGTCATCCAGTAGTTTTGGCAAGGAGTGCCGCTTTCATGTGGAGGTGAATAACGATTTTTACCAAAGTCCCACCTTGACTTGCCAGCTATCTGCTGAGTTTCGGATGAGCTTGTTGGTGAAAAGGTCATGGATCCCGCTGAAAAGGAGTTTTTGTTCATTGTCATACATAACTACATCATTGAAAAGTTTTTCGATACAGAATTATTCCACGATTGAAACGCTTCGGAGTCAGTCCAAGCTACCGTGGTATTTTGGTGCAGTACGCACTTTGTCGGATAACGATAGTCGCGATTCTGTTTGAAGTGTTTTTAAAGACAGCGCCCGGTGTCGCCTTCCGCACGGCTGGAGAGCTCAAAACAATGGTCGCGTGCTAAGTAGGAGGCTGGTGAACAAAAAAGAAAAAGAAACCGTCGAAAATGCCCCAAATAAAACCCCATGTGCGAAATTGAAAATGAACGACTCAGCCACACTTTGGGCGAGTTCTCTGTATCCGGCCTCTCTGCTATTCATTCGCTAAGGCACGTTCGATCACATCTTTTTTTCTCCTTTTTCTTATCATTGTCAACGAAGTTGCCATCGATCGAGGAGGAGCTAGCTTGAGAAGGCGGGGTTTGCTAATCGTAGCCAAGCCCGCCACCGTTTATCAGGCGCTTCCAGTCGCAGGAGCGGTACATCCTCGGTGATTGTGGACTTTCCCACCTTGTACACTAGGAAATTTCTGCACCTTGGTTGATCGCAGACGCTGTCTTCAAACTACGAAATGTGACCAGATTTGTTCTCACGGACTCCACTATTTTTTATATAAGATCTTGTGGTCCTAGAATACTGGAACGTGTGAAGAAACAATCCCGAGCTATGCGATGGGGTATTCTCCTTTCGCATTGGATCCGGGTAAGGACTTTAGTGGCCAGTGAATCAATCCTTCGGAGCTTCTCGTCTACCTGGTCTTGTCATATGAGAAATGCTTGAAAAGGTCCCATTGTTGAATGTTTTGAATGCATCACGCTAAAGATGTTACTACAGTTGATGAGGACCGCATAGTGAAGATTTCCGCTTCGCTGCTGACCCAAGCTCAAAACAGGCTGAAAGAACCTCGTCGATTCGCCATGTATCCACTATTAGTACAGCCCTGAAACTTACTGTAGATCATTGCTGGCATAATGTCCTTGTCTCGCTTTTCGGCCAATTCAACCAGCATTCTCAGTGGGCCCTTAACCGAACTACTGTTCAACAACTAAACGATATTATATTATTGAAGGCTCCAACATACACATGGTGTAAGGACGGCAATCACATCCCATATAGCGATGTCAATCACAAGCAACCAACATGTCCATTTTGGAATGAATTGCAGAAGAGATAGTGCGATCATCGCGCCAAGAAAAATTAGTGATACCTTCAAAATAAAGTAAAACTAGTAAAACGCATTGACATTGAATATTGAAGAGGTAAGCTGTCTATGCGGCAAGTAGTGACCAGTCAGTTCCTTCAGGATGTGCTAGAACTAGAATTTTAGCGATGACATCTGAGCAAGAATTGTCTGAGGAGGACCTGCGGCTACGGATCGTCAAGGTGGAACCGGGCTCTCCTACCCATTCTGCCAATCCCAAGAACGAGAATGTCGACAAAAGGGGCACGCTTTCGCGAACAGGTAGTCACTTGTCCTGTGCCACAGTCCTTGATAATGCGATCACGATCGCGCGTTTCGGGGACTAGGTACATATCAAACCAGTACGTCGAGAGTTGACAATCGGAGGTGTCGCGGGACTGCCTGAAAAAGGCGATATCCCTCGACTCTCTCAAATCCTCCTCAAATCCAGCGGAGACCCC